GGTGCCCAGCCCCCCAAGACCCCCAGCCCGTCCCGCTGCCCCCGGGCGCGTCCCCCAGCCCAGGGCCGCTCCCCCTTCCCTGCGCCGGGACGCTCCCGGGGGCAGCGGGGCCGAGGGGACCGGGTGGGTCCGTGCGGTACCGGGGCGAGGTTCGGGGCCGGCGGGCTCGGCCCTGGGGTGCTGCGGGGCTGGGGCGGTGCCAGGGAAGGTGCGGGACGGGACCGCTGCGGAACGGGGCGCGGGGCTGGGGGCTGCGGAGCTGGGGAGGGCCCGGGGAAGGTGCGGGACCGGGGGTGCTGCGGGACCGCTGCGGTGCCGGGAGGTTCGGGGCCGGTGCGGAGCCGAGGGCGGTGCGGGGCTGCTCCCGCCCGCGGCTCCTCCCGTCCCGCCGGGCTCCTCCCGCCCGCCGGCCCCGGCGATATTTAACCTGGGCCGCGGCGGGGAGCGGCAGCGCCGAGCGGGGACAGAGCCGAGCCCGGGGCAGCGCAGCCCGACCCCGCTCAGGTAGCGCCGGGACCCCGCGCCGCGCCCGGCTGCGGCACAGGCGGCGAGCGGAGCGGGGGCAGGACGGGAAGGGGGCTGCGATCTGGAGCCGGAGCCCGGCGAGACCCCCCCGGGGAGCCGCCCGCCCCGCGTGTCCCGCAGCCGCCGCTCGTCCCGTCCCGCCCGGCCATGCGAGCCCCGGCCCCGCTGGCGCTGGGTTGCGTCAGCTTCGCGCTGTGCCTGCTGGAGCTGCCCCACGGCCGGGGCCTGCCGCCGCGCAGGTGAGGGACCCTGCCCGGAACCCCCTGCCCGACCCCTGCCCTGATCCCTGTCCCGACCCCTGCCCGGAACCCCTGCCCGACCCCTGCCCGGAACCCCCTGCCCGAGTCCTGCCCGACCCCTGCCCGGACCCTCTGCCGGACCCCTGCCCGATCCCTGCCCCGATCCCTGCCCGGAACCCCCTGCCCGACCCCTGCCCGGAACCCCCTGCCCGATTCCTGCCCGACCCCTGCCCGGACCCTCTGCCGGACCCCTGCCCGATCCCTGCCCCGATCCCTGCCCCGCTCATGCTGCCCGGCCCCGCACCCCCTTTTCCCGCACCCCATGCCCGCCACCCAGCCCCGCGCCCTCCCCGTCGCCCCCCGCCCCCGCAGCTGCCCGGGCTGGGGGCCTGGGGGGTCCCGGGGCAGCGTCTCCTGCCGGGCCCCCACCCCGGGGACGCGGTGCCTTGGGGACTGGGGGCAGCGGGGACAGGCACGCCCGGAGGTGCGGGGGTGCCGAGGTGTGCCAGGTGTGCAGAGGTGTGCCAGGTGTGCCAGGTGTGCCAGAGCCGCCGGGGGCTGGCACAGGCCGGGACAGAGATTTTGTGTGTGCAGGAGCTCGGCGGTGCCGCGGCCGCTCTGGGTGCCCGGGCCGGGGGTCTCTGGGATGCTGAAGGGGTCAGCCTGGGGTCGGGGCAGCCCCCCGTGTGAGCGTGCACACCCCGCACGTGCGGGTGCGTGCCCCGGCTCGGGAGCGCGCCTGGGCCGGGCCCGGGGATCCCCGCCTGGCTCGGGGGGCGCGGGAGAGGCAGCCCGGGCAACTCCCGGGTGGGGGGCACCGGGGCACCCCCACCCCACCGGGCCCGGGCAGCCCCTGCCGGGCCGGGGGGCGGGCTGGGCTGGGGTCCTCTGGGTTAAAATGGGGAGGAAATATTGAAAAAAGGTAAAAGAGAGGGACGGGTCTAAGGACTGGACCAAACCCTCCAAGTTCCTTGGGAAGTTCCAAGGGGGGGTCCCCTGAGGAAAAGGCGTCCCCGGGACACCCAGGACAGGGGCAGGGGCCGTGGGAACGGGGGGGGCTCCGGGGGGACCAGCGCTGGCCCGGTGCTGTCGTGTGTGCGGCACACGTGTCGTGTGCCCGGGGTACGTGTGTGCCTGCAGGTAGCGGCGGCTCCCCTGCTCCGGCTGCTTCCTCCTCCTCCTCCTCCTCCTCCGGCTCCTGCTCCTCCTCCCCTCCGGAAGCCCCGTGCTCAGCGCTGGCTCCGGGCTCAGGAGGTGCCCGGTGCCACCCCCCGAGGCTGTCGCGGTGCCACCGCCGTGCCCGGGAGCTGAGCTGCGTCCCCCTGACCCTGCCCCTTCTCTCCCGCAGGGCCACCCCGGCGCGGAGCCCCCCGGAGCGGATCCCCGCTCTGCCGGGAGACCCCGCGGCCCCGCAGCCCATCGGGACCCTGCGGCACCGAGCTCCGGTTCCCCGGCACGGCCCGTGGGCCGCCCCCCGGCCCCCGCCGTGGCACGTCCGGCGCCTCATCCTGCGGCACGACCGACGGCACGACCCCCGGCACGACCCCCGGCCGCCCCGGGGCCGGCGCCACGCCGGGGGGCACCTGGTGCGGGTGGGCTGCGTGCTGGGCACCTGCCAGGTGCAGAACCTGAGCCACCGCCTGTGGCAGCTGCGGGGACAGTCCGGCCGCCGCGACTCGTCCCCCATGAACCCCAACAGCCCCCACAGCTACGGCTGAGGGGGGGGCGCGCCCCCGCCCCGCGGGACCCCCGAAGCAGCGCCACTGCTCCTCCGCGCCGCCGGGGCCGGCCCCGGGGGGCTCCGGCAGCCGCAGCCCCCTGATGGAGCGCCGGGGACGGACGGGAGCTGGCAGCGGCGCCCTGGGGATCGGCGGTGGCCCGTGGTGACCCGCAGAGACTGGCGGTGGCCCAGAGCTGGCCCGCAGTGACTCTTGGTGGCTCGGAGTGGCCCCTGGTGGCGGCCCGTGGTGACCCGGGGTGGCCGGCGGTGGGTCCAAGGGCCACCGGGAATCCCGCTGACCGCAGCAGCACCGGCACCTTGTGCAAGACCCTCCGGCCGCGCTCCTGCTGACTCAGCATTCCCGTGGTGCTGCGGCACCCCCGGAGCCCTCCAGGGCACCCCAGCCCTTCCCCGCGGTGACACTGGGGCGGGGGACCCCGCTCCGGGCTGGGGACGAGGCAGCCAGCCCCCAGCACCTTCCCCAGCTTGGGGGTCCCGGTGGGGGCTGGCACTTCCCGGGTGCTGGGGGGGTCCTGCCCTCCTCATGAACATTGTCCCCTCCCCTGGCACCTGTGCCCAGCCTGTGTCACCCACAGCCCGGCAGGAGCTGGCCATAGGGAGATGTCCCCAAATGTGGGGGGCAGTGGAAAGGTTGGGGTTCTGTGCCCCACTGCTGCCCTGTCCCGGACCTGTCCCCACTCCTGGCCCTGTCCTGTCCAGCCCTGTCCCCTGACCCCCACGTCGTGTCCCCACAGGCTCAGTGGGTGCCCATGGACACGAGGGGACACGTGTGACATCCCTGTCACCCCGGGGTGCCGCTGTCACCCCTCAGGGCTGTCACCTGCCAGGGCCATCACCCCACGGCGCTGTGGGACAGGGATGTGTGACCCCAGGTCACTGTCCCACCCCCTCCTGGGAGCAGCTTCAGCAGCCCCCCCAGAGCAGCAGCCCAAATCCCTCCAGAGCAGCCCTGTCCTCCCAGGAGCACCCCCGTTCCCAGAGCACCCCATTCCCAGAGCACCCCGTTCCCAGAGCACTCCATTCCCACAGGAATGTGCCCATTCCCCCAGAGCACCCCATTCTCAGGAACACCCCATTCCTGGGAACACCCCATTCTTAGGAACACCCTATTCCCAGAACACCCTATTCCTGGGAGCACCCAGCCCCCGGAGCACCCCAATCCTCTGGGAGCTCCCCAGCCCCCCATTCCCCAGAGCACCCGGCTGTCCCTGGAGGTTTAGGGACAGGATGTCCCCTGGGTGCCACACGAACGGAGCTGTCCCTGGGTGTCCATCCCCTGGGTGTCCCAGTTTCAGGACAGGATGTCCCAGGAATGTCTCAAGGTGTCCCGGGATGTCCTGGGATGGGATCCCATGGGTGCCACCAGGAGCTGTGTTCACCCCACGGGTGTCCCAGGACCTCCCGTACCCCGTGGAGCTGCCGAGGGGCGCGGGGGTCCCGAGGGGCGCGGGGTCCCCAGGCCTTTGTCCCCTCCCCCGGGTGCCCCGCTGAGCCCGGTGGGTGCCCGAGCCATCCTGGCCCAGGTGGCTGCTTCCCGGGAACCCTGGTTTGTGTGGAATAAAGAAAGTGTGTGAGGAGGAGCCGCGATGGAGCATGGTGATCCCGTGGGGATGGGGCAGGGATGGGACACAGTGATCCCATAGGGATGGGGCATGGTGATCCCATAGGGATGGGATATGGATGGGATGGGGGGATCCCATGGGGATGGGGCAGGGATGGGATGTGGTGATCCCGTGGGGATGGGGCAGGGATGGGACACAGTGATCCCATAGGGATGGGGCATGGTGATCCCATAGGGATGGGATATGGATGGGATGGGGGGATCCCATGGGGATGGGGCAGGGATGGGATGTGGTGATCCCGTGGGGATGGGGCAGGGATGGGACACAGTTATCCCATAGGGATGGGATATGGGATGTGGTGATCCCATGGGGATGGGGCATGGTGATCCCATAGGGATGGGATATGGGATATGGGATGTGGTGATCCTGTGGGGATGGGGCAGGGATGGGACACAGTTATCCCATAGGCATGGGGCACGGTGATCCCATAGGGATGGGATATGGGATGGGATGTGGTGATCCCATAGGGATGGGGCAGGGATGGGGCACGGTGATCCCATAGGGATGGGGCAGGGATGGGATGTGGTGATCCCATAGGGATGGGGCAGGGATGGGATGTGGTGATCCCGTGGGGATGGGGCACGGTGATCCCACAGGGATGGGGCAGGGATGGGATGTGGTGATCCCATGGGGCTGGGATATGCGATGGAATGTGGTGATCCCATCGGGATGGGGCACAGTGATCCCGTGGAGATGGGACACGGTGATCCCGTGGGGATGGGATATGGGATACAGGATGTGGTGATCCCGTGGGGATGGGCAGGGGTGGCCAAGGGGCGGCCGTGTCCAGGGACAGGCACGGAGTCCCCCCGGGGCAGGAGGTGACAGGCGGGGGCTGTGTCCACAGGGATGTGGGGACAGTGGGGACACACACACGCGCGTGTGCCACCCCCGATGCCCGGCCGTGCCCGTGCCCACACGTGCCCATGTCCGGCCGTGTCCCTGCCCTGTCCTGGCCGTGCCCACACGTGTCCTGCCCACCCGTGCCAGCCCGGGCCGGGCCCGGTCATACCCGTGCCATCGCGCTGTCCCCGTCCCCCCCGGGCAGTGCCAGCCCGGTGTCCCCGCTCTGTCCCAAGCCTCCCCGTGCCCCCCGTCCCCAGGGCCCGTTCCGCTCCCCACGTCCCTGCGGGGTCACCCCGCGGCCGCACCCGGGGGTCCCCAGCTCGGGGCCGGCCCAGGGGTCCCCCAGCCCCCTCCGGGAGCCGCAGCCCCCCAGGCGGGCGCGGGGTCAAACATTAACCGGGGCGGGTTAACTGGTCACCGATTGTCCCCGCGGGGCCGGGCGGGCCCCCCGCGCCACCCCCCGCCATAAAAGCGGGGGGGCGGCGGCCGCCCCGCAGCCAGGGAGCCCCCAGACCCAGCATGAGCAGCCTGCAGGAGGTGAGTGGGGCGGGGGGCTCGAGGCTGCACCGGGGGGACAGACACACCGGGGTGGGGGGGGGGACAGATAGACTGGGGGGGGGAACAGACACACCCGGACCACCCCAAACCCGGGGGGCAGAGGAGACCCCCCGGCGATGCTGTCCCTGCTGGGGGGTGCCACCCCACCCCAAAGGGCCCAGCTGGGGCGGTCCCGAGGCCATGGGGAGCTGCTCCCCACCCTGGGCGGGGTTGGGGGGCAGGGCCAGCCTGGGGGGTGTCCCACAGCACCCATGGGGCTGAGCAGGGACCCTCTCGCTGTCCCCAGTGGGGACCCCCGGACTGCTGTCCCCACCTAGGGACAGCCGGGGCTGGACCCCCCCAGGGATCGGGGACGCCACCCCCAGGTCCGTCTGTGCCCGGGGGGGATCAGTGTGCGCTGATCGGTGACACCGTGTGACACAATCACAGATAGTGTGTGATAGGGCGTGTCACCGTGTGACAAAGTGTGACATTGTGTGATAGTGTGCGACGCTGTGTGACACCAATGCATTGGTGGGTGACACTGTGACCCCCTGTGCCGGTGTGATCCCAGGCATGCGGGTCTCTCCTTGGTACCAGTGTCCCCCTGTCCCCAACCTCCTGCCCCTGTGTCCCCCTGTCCCCAACCTCCTGTCCCTGTGTCCCCCTGTCCCCAACCTCCTGTCCCTGTGTCCCCTTGTCCCCAACCTCCTGCCCCTGTGTCCCCCTGTCCCCAGCCTCCTGTCCCTGTGTCCCCCTATCCCCAACCTCCTGTCCCTGTGTCCCCCTGTCCCCAACCTCCTGTCCCTGTGTCCCCTTGTCCCCAACCTCCTGCCCCTGTGTCCCCCTGTCCCCAGCCTCCTGTCCCTGTGTACCCCTGTCCCCAACCTCCTGTCCCCAACCTCCTGCCCCTGTGTCCCCCTGTCCCCAACCTCCTGCCCCTGTGTCCCCCTGTCCCCAGCCTCCTGTCCCTGTCCCCTGTCCCCGTCCCGCGGCACCCACGCGGGTCCCCTGAGCCCCCGTCCCCCGCAGGACCCCGACTCCTCCGAGGAGCCCAAACCCGGCAATGCCAAGACCGAGCTCCGCAACTACACCGTGAGTGGGGGTCCCGGGGTGAGTGGGGGTCCCGGGGTGGGGGTCCCACGCCGGGCGGGTCGGGGGGTCCCGGGGATGCCCCGGAGCGCCCCCAGCCCGCGGTGCCGCCCCGCAGGAGGGGAGGCTGATCGACCGCGTGTACAACACCTACCTGCTCATGCACACGCACCAGACCGTGGAGTTCGTCCGCAGGAAGGTGCGACCCGCGCCGGTGTCACCTTCTGTCCCCCGGTGTCACCTCCTGTCCCCCGGTGTCACCCCGCGTCCCCCGGTGCCACCCCCTGTCCCCCGGTGTCACCCCCTGTCCCCCGGTGCCACCCCGCATCCCCCCCGGTGTCACCTCCTGTCCCCCGGTGTCACCCCCTGTCCCCCGCTGCCACCCCCTGTCCCCCGGTGTCACCTCCCGTCCCCCGCCGCCACCTCCTGTCCC